TCTTGGGTTTGGCTGGGTATTATCGACGTTTTGTCAAGGGCTTCTCGATCCTTGCTACTCATTTGACAAAGCTGTTAAGGAAGAATGTGCCGTTTGACTAGGGCGAGGCACAACAAGAGAGCTTTGAGAAATTAAAAGTGATTTTGACTCAAGCACCAGTGTTGATTCAACCAGAGTCCGGGAAGGATTTTACAGTGTATAGTGATGCTTCACATTCAGGACTTGGTTGTGTTCTAATGCATGAGGGTAAGGTAGTGGCTTATGCGTCACGTCAACTGTGACTGCATGAGTATAATTATCCTACTCATGATTTGGAGTTAACAACAGTGATTTTTGCCCTGAAGATTTGGAGACACTATCTTTATGGAGAGAAGTGTTACATTTTCACTGATCATAAGAGCTTAAAGTATCTTCTGACCCAGAATGAGCTTAATTTGAGACAACGGCGCTGGCTAGAGCTTCTAAAGGATTATGATTGTGTGATTGATTATCACCCTGGTAAAGCTAACATTGTGGCGGATGCTTTGAGTCGAAAGGCGGTATCGGAGTTGAGGTCTTTAATGGCCAGAATGAATTTATATGACGATGGCATGTTGTTAGCAGAATTACAAGTTAAGCCGACTTTGGTTGATGAAATTAAAGTTAAGCATCCCCTTGATAGCTCCTTTCTATCCATCTTTGAGCAAGTAGAATAGGGGACAAGCTTAGATTACGCCCTTGATCAGGATGCAATTTTATGCTTTAAGGGTCGATATTGTGTACCTGATGATGCTGAGTTGAGGCAGATTATTCTCAATGAGGCTCACAGTAGTCCATATGCTATGCACCCCGGTGGAGATAAGATGTACCGGAATTTGAGAGAGAGGTATCATTGGGTCGGCATGAAGAAGGACATCTCGGATTTTGTGGCTAGGTGTTTGACTTGTCAGCAAGTTAAAGCGGAACATCAACATCCATCAGGTTTGTTACAGCCTATCAAGATTCCTGAATGTAAATGGGAGCGAATTACTATGGATTTTGTTACCGGCTTACCTATGACTCCTTCGAAAAAGGATTTAGTCTGGGTGATTGTTGACAGACTTACAAAGTCAGCTCACTTCATTCCTGTGCGGGAAAATTATACTTTGGACAAGCTGGCGAGATTGTATATTTCGGAGATTGTCAGATTGCATGGTGTTCCATTGTCTATTATTTCATATCGATATCCAAGATTTACTTCGAGATTTTGGAAGGCGCTATATACGGCTTTGGGAACCAGATTGTATTTTAGTACGTCCTTCCACCCACAAACTGATGATCAATCTGAGAGAGTGATTCAAATTTTGGAGGATATGTTGCGGGGTTGCGTAACTGATTTCTGTGGTAGCTGGGAAAACTTTTTGCCGTTGGCTGAATTTGCTTACAATAACAGTTATCAGACCATCATTCGTATGGCACCCTACGAAGCACTTTATGGGCGTAAATATCGCACCCCGATTTGTTGGACTGAGTTGCATGAAAGGAAGACGTTGGGACCTGAATTAGTACACGAGACGGAGGACACAATCAGATTGATTCGTGACCGTCTGAAAGAGGAATTTGATAAACAGAAGTCTTATACAGATCAAAGGAGGAAAGATTTTCAGTTTGAGATTGGAGATCAGATCTTTTTAAAAGTATCATCGTGGAAGAAAGTATTAAAATTTGGGTGTAAGGGTAAATTAAGTCCAAGATTTATTGGATCATTTCGTATTTTGAAGAGGGTAGGACCTGTTGCATATCAGCTTAAGTTACCTCCTGAGCTCAGTCATATTCATGATGTCTTTCATGTATCAATGTTGAGGCGATACCGTCCAGATCTAGGTCACATCATTCAGGTTGAAGAGGTAGAATTGAGACCTGATTTGTCATATAAGGAGGAGCCCGTTCAGATCTTAAAAAGAGATGAGAGAGTTCTTCGGAATAGGCGTATCCCAATGGTAAAAGTTCAATGGAGTAATCGAGGTCCCTCTGAAGCTACTTGGGAGACATTGGAGTCAATAGAGGCTCAATTTCCTTAACTATTCTTATAAGGTAAATTTCGAGGACGAAATTTCTTGTAGAGGGGGAGAATTGTAACATCCAGGAAAAAAGAGAAAAAATATATATTTATATTGGTGAAATTAGGTGAAATTTGGTGACTAAATTAAAAGTTTTCAAAACTTATAGGCTATTTTAGAAGTTGAAGGAAATTCAGGGACCAAGTCCTGAATTCCTCCAATGAGTGTCGGCAGGCTTGTATTATAAGCGTGTTTTCTGATTGAAATCAGAAAACACATGCTTAATTTGCTTAAACTTTCTTCCTCCTGTACCTTTACTTTCAAACTCCATTCCGACGCCGTTCGAGCTCCAATCGTAAAATTGAAACCACTGTCGTGTTCATCTTCAACCCATGAACAAAACCCAGTAAACCAATTATAGCGAAACGCTGCCAAACGACGTGAATTTTGAGTCAAAGTCTCGATGTTTTTTTAGCACCACCACCGAGAAAATCTTAAATTCATCTCCGATCGTTGATCGGTTTTCGACAGCTCTCGTACCATCGTGTTCCTTGTTTCTTTCCGAGTCCGATGGTGTCCTCCTTGTCTCCGTAGGTGGCGGCGCGTGTGGGAGGTGAAGCGGTCAAAGATTCGGCCGAGTTGAAATCGAGCTCTCCACCGTTCAAAAATTTGAACCGAGGCTGGTAAGTGACTCAAAATCGCTTAAAAGAATTTTTGGAATTTTTTTCAGGAATTTTTGGAGACCGGAGGAGGCCTCAGGCGCCCCCACGCGCAACCCCTACGCGTGGGGAAGATTCGAATTGGGGGGTGTTATATGTTGACCGGTCGAACCGGTCCGACCCGACCCGGTGATATTTTGATAATTATTTTTAAAATGGTGATATTTTGGTAATTATTTTAAAAATAGTGCTATTTTCGTAATAATTGTTGTGGACTATTGAGCACCTTTGACCAAAACTTTGACCGGCTTTAACCGGACATTAAACGACCTTTGATTTTGTTCGAGTATACCTATTCTGACATTTTTTAACGTGTCGAATTCGTTTCCGATGCCCGTTTCGCCAAATTCGAACCCGAAGGTCTCCAAATCATCAGTCAAACCCGTTGACTTTGATTTTGACCAAGAATTTGAATTTTTGAAAAGTCGTACTTTATGTTTTTCGACGTCCTGATTTCGATTCCGTAATCCGTTTGGTCAAATTCAGACTCGAAAGCCACCAAATTGATAGTCAAACCTAAAAAATGCTTATGTACTTAAGAGTTTCAGCTTTGAATGATTGAGTAAGACTTGGGACTGATAAATTATTAATGTTTGAAGGTACAAGAGACTCTCCTGACCGTTCGACTGCTCGACCCAGCTCCTCTAGATCAGTTAAACCATGTGTGTCAGTATTCACTCGTAAGACCCGTAAATTTTATGGTTTCAGAAATTAATTATGTTACCCATTAGTAATAGAGTGTTATTCTGAATTAGGTTCGAAAACTGTAGCAGAGCGTGACGAGACTAACAATCAGTAGATCTACTATTTGAACCTAACTCATGAATATAAAACTAAACAGTTAAAAAATTTAATTTTTAAAACATGTCTAAAAAATCTCAATTACGATAAACCAAACATAAATAGCAAAAGAGTAAACATTATAAAATCCAATAATTTAATTTTCCGAAACCCTTTTATAAATGTATTTATAATGTGATTTTATAATTAATCTCATAAGAGTTTCGGAAAAATGTCTTTAAGAATCATGAATGTGATCCACTAGACTTAGTAGAAACGCATAGGCCGGGTCTAGGTACACCCATATAGGCCAATTATTAAGAAGACTAATAAAGGGTTATGTTTATTTCCTTCTGGAAGAATGCCTTGTGGCTTGACATTGGAAGGCTGTCCATCGGAATCGGGGGTGCCATGATTAGTTATGTGATAGTGTACTAAGGTTTGCTGTTCATTTTTCAACTTCAAGTAGTTTTTATGCTGATATACATTATGAAACAGGTACCTTTTTATATAGCTGAAATAACACCTAAAAGTCTCCGGGGTTCCTTTACATCATCAAATATGGTAAAATATACTTGAATCAATTGACTATGTGATCTGTCAACTTAACATTAATTAGATACTTATGTTTTACATTGGAACCTTCATTTCATGGAGCTCCCTGGCTTTGATCAGTATGTATTTTGCTTTTTTCTTTATTAGATAAAGCAAAAGATAGTGTTTTATCTATTCTGTTCTTCAGGTGCAATCCCCGTGTGTAGTACAGATAATAGGCTTGTTTTTTCATTCCAGAGTCCCTAAATGGCTGGTAAGTCTAACTCCATAGTATTCAGAAGCTTTTTAAGTCCGTAACATGCTAGAGAAAGATATAAGAGAATTCATGCACTTGATTCTTTACTTTTGAGTTGACACAGTGTAAATGCAAGATGTAAATGGCTTCTGCAGACAATATGATCGAGAAAAAGAGTTTGAAGCTTCCTTGAAGCGTCTTAGGGGAGACTCGGATATTTCTGAAGAAGCAGCTATTATCAGAGTAGATTTTAGCTTCATATCTTTTAGTTTTTCCCCAGGAAATTTGGAACGCTTTTTCCTCATGATATGTGCTTATATTCTCTTGTAGGGTTATTGGAAACTCTGAGCAACACACAGAAGCAAGTTTTCTCCAGGGACTCATTCTGCTTTAAGGCTCAAGTACACAATACATGGTTCTTTGTAGAATGCATGCATATCACAACTATAAATTGGTTAATACATGATTAGGATGAGCCAAACTACATGTATAAACTGGTTAATACTGCAAACACAGATCGGTGCTACGGCTTACACGATAGGCTTGGCAGGAATACCGTGGATTATAATAATGTCAGAGGCATGTGCCAATTCCGAAATCGAAATCTTCATCGTTGCTTACATATCAAGCTTGGCCCAATAGCCGTAGGCAAGGGATTCATTTGAGTAAAACATGGTGCATATTCTTGGTCAGATATTTCCTATAAATGTTAAAGCTCAAGCTGGAAGCCTGGTGACTTTAGTCCACTGGTCAGCTGCTTGGATCACTACTTACAGTTTCAATTTTATGATGGACTGGAGCTCAGCAGGTCATCCACCATTTCTTCTCCAACAAAGTAAATTAACATTACATTTCTGAACTAAAATGTATCAGCAAACATCATTGCAGGAACATATTTCGTTTTTGAATCTCGGGCTTAGCTGTCGCATTCGTCGCCAAGTTGGTTCGAGAGACAAAAGGGAGAACACCGGAGGACATACAAGCTTCTATCACTCATTTTATGTAATATCAGATTTATTCCTGGTATGGCCATGGATGCACCAATATGTATAAATAATATACGCGTATTGCGTACTTTCATTCTATCACTCATTGATGATAATTTTTGTTAGTTTCTAAAGAGTGTAAGTGAAATTAATAAAATTTGTAAACAAAAGAAACTAAAATGTTATTACAGTTTTTTTTTAATAAAAAAGTCAATTGAAATTAACTAATAACACCTAATCCAACATTTTCAAATCGTTAAGTCAGGATCAAGAAAATGGACTTATTTTACTATTATTATTAGCCAAAAATTGGTTTGCTGGATAAACCTATCTAATAGAGGTGATCGAGTCGAGTAAAAAAATTCAAATTATTCAAGATGACGAGTCGTATATTATGACTAAGGTTAAATTTTAAAAAAAAAATGAGTCGAAGTTTCTATACAAATTTAATTTTAATTATTTATACTACTATGGTACTACATATTGGTTGGTATTTTCACTTTCTAACCATATAAGATATATATATCTTATAATATTATAAAATATTATAATATTTATAATATTATAGAGTAGTTTAATAAATAAGATGCAATCTAAAATTATAAAATATATTTATAATATTATAGAGTAGTTTTCATTATTTTTACATTATTTTCGTTTTTTAAAATAATAAAAAATATTACTAAAAGAGAAAATTTTTAATTAATTTAAATATCATATAAAAAATATTATTCAATTCTAAAATGTCATGAATCTCGCGTGTCAAAAGAAAAAGAAATTAATACCTAATAAAATATTGACTGTAAATAAATTATAATAAATTATTACTATTAACTTGAATAAAGTAGCCTAAAATCATTTCCATCACGTCCCATCAATTATAATATTTTTTTTATTTTTTTACTATTTTTTCTAATGTCACATTTTTATAAATAATTTTTTTCTTGTTATCGTTTTCGAAGATGATTACTAATATATATTATAGTTTAATATATATTATTAATTGGAAAGATAAACATGGTTAAATAAATAAGAGTTTTTATGTCAACAAGATTCTTGAACAAAAAGAAACTGTTTTAACTAAAGTTGATTTAAGTAGTAAGTAGTTTGATATCGTTTAAGTAATGTTCGAATTCGAATTCTTCTGTAAGTAGAAAATTTTCACTGGGAGACTCAATCACCTATCAAAATCATGTATACGACATAAATTAATTTAAATTAGTCATGATAAAATCCTAAAAACCAAAAAAGTGAACCAAAATAAAAAAATATTTTAATATTTTATTATCTCAATAATTAGCATTGGAGTAGTTTGGACAATATGTGGGATTAGATCTCGGAAATGATTTGATGAATAATTTATCCAAAAATATATTTATCAACATAATATTAAATTAAATGAAGATTAAAAGATCAAAGTGAGTGGTCCCATATCATAATTATTTATTAACCCTATGCTTATATATACACATTTTTTATATTCAAGCAAACTATTTAAAGCCAAAATTGATTCCACAAGCAACAAATAAAATAAGATAAACTACATCAATTATCACCTAATTATAATAGATTTCATATAATTCAATGATCATATATTCACTGATTAAATTAAGAATTTTCTAATCTAACCAATAATTATAATTTTTATTAAAAATTAAATTTATAATTTAGTAATTTTTTATTGAATTGTAAAGTTTAAAATGTCCAATTTAATTTATAATATAATTAAAATTAAAATTATAAATTTATCTTATGATCTGACTTGTGTAGTTTACAACAACAATAACAAAACTCTATTCTCGTATGTAATGAGGTAAGGGAGAGGTAGGGTAGTAGGATGCCCCCTACGCCAGGTAGAGAGCAATTTCCGTGAAAGACCTCCGGCAATCAAAAAATTAAAAATAAAGATAAAATACAATGCATGTATAAATAAATAAATAAATACATAGTTGAATAGTCTTTATAAGCAGTCTTCATATGCACATCTGTAATGGGAAGTAATATCCGCAAATAAATCCCTGTGTAAAAATCTCTGCATATAGACAGAAACGTAAGTCCGGCTAAATTTAAATAAAAAATGAACATGAAGAGAAGGATATACATTAGTCAGCGATAGCAAGCTACGAGAAGGAATAAAGTCATTTGGGTTAAAACCTAAACTTAGGTAACACTACTCCGCTACCTTAGTTCTAAGGCTTCATAAATTCCAATGACAGAAACCATATAAAAAGAAGAAGTCATAGAAATTAATACAAATACATTAAAAAGAATATAGAGATGCTACACCCTATAGCTGTTGTAACACCCATAACCCGTATAATTATACCTATACAGATTATGGATGTTATCCGAATTTCTAAAACCATTTCACATTTCAAAAGTTATTTAAAATTTATTTTCTTAAAATAGTAATTGATATTATAAAATATCATATCATATAAATAATATTTAATTATAACAAATTTAATCCAAAAGATTTTTTATGAATAGTGAATAGTACTGTGAACAGTGTATAGTAAACAGTAGGGGTATCGGTACCTGTAGCAGGGGAATCGGTACCCCTTTAACATAAGTTCATAAAATTCCATTTTTTGTTCCAACTTAATTCAAAAAAACAAATAAAACATAATAATTACATGCCACTAATTAAATCTACATTACATCTTAGGATGTCTTACTGATATAGAAATATACTTCTCGATCTTTGATGAAGCTGTAAACTCTTTATTCCATTACTCGCTTTTTACCTACGCGTGAAAATCATCACACGCTAAGTATATACTTAGTGAGGCAATTAAAACATTTAACAGTGCAATACAATTCATGCATGATTTTCAATGTCCAAAATCCAAATGCCATAAAATCATTTTATGTGCATAACCAATATTTACCATGATCAAAAATAATATAAAATCTCTTACCATTTATCCCATAAGCTCGTAAGCTTATTTTATCAAAATACTTACCATTTAAATTTCATAAACTCGTAAGCTTATTTTATCAATATACTTGTCATTATTCCATAAGCTCGTAAGCTTATTTTACTTGGTTACCATTTATTAACCAATAAACCATAATCCATATCCCATAGCCCATATTAAACCTTGAGGACCCTGGGTATTCGAGTAAAATACCTACACCGTAGTGCTAAACCTGCACTAAGCTTACGCCATAGTGTTAATCCGGACAATACACATAAGGTCGTGCCCACCACCTACACTAAGCTTACGTTATAGTGCTAATCCGGATAATAAACCTGCACTTAGTGTCCTTACACACTATAGTGCTATTATAAACCTACAGCTGCTATACTCTATGGCATGCCAACTATACCCTGTCCCTCAATGATTTACTTGGGCATATAGTCTATTTTATTCAATCCATCAATGGCAAAGTATATTATCAATATTTAACATTGGGCAGTTCATACCCGAAAACATTCATGGTAAAACATCACATTTTTCATGATCAATGCATTTTAATTTCATACTGTGACATTTCAATGTCATGTCGAAGTTATAAAAATAACATATATCATGCTGATATAAATAAGGTCGACTTATCGCAAGTCTTCCTGATGATGTATAAAACATCCATGTATAATTTCATGCATGTATTGCACTCACCTTGACACTTTATAATTTTGCCAAAATATAAGCCTCACTATTGTTCCACAATAAACCCTATTGATTTGCTTCAATCACAAATCAATCATAATCTGTATAAATCACAAATTCATAATGATATATATGTTAGTATTGTACTAACATAAACATATCTCAAAATAACTCCATAATACTTAGAATTCCTTTTAACATTGGAACCAACTTGTCTAATTTACACAAAATGGTCTTTCACCATTTTACTACTTAAATTCTTTAATACCAATAATTCCAACATTGAAATTATTTCACAATTAACACTCATTTCAATTCCCTAACAACAATTTCCAGCATAGTACATCAATTATATAACACTTACACAACCACCCATCAATTTTCCAGAATTTAGACAACTTGCAGTACCTTTAAAGAATCAGTATTCTGTATTGATGTACACACTGGAATTTAATTCCGTTTCTTCCATTGAAAACTAGACTCAAATAAAAATCTATCCATGTAAATAACTCCTTCTAATTCATTATGAACAATTTATGGTGAATTTTCAAAGTTGATCAACAGAATCTGTTTTATACAGAATTCTGCTGTCCGATTTTTCTGACCTTTCCTCGCTTAACAATTCATATCTATTTGTATACAACTTGAAATTGATCTCCGTTTGTTTTAAACAAAACTAGATCCATATATGAACGCAATAGATAAAAATAACCTCCAAATTATTTTTATATATGTTCTGGTGAATTTTCGAACCTACAGCCAAATTCAGAATCTAACTGTTTCTTTTAACTTCATCCCTAGGCTCTTCATCAATTTTCCAAAATTTACAAATTTATCCCCAACTTTTCAAAACTTAAGAAATGATCCCCAATTTTTCTAAGGCTTGTAGAATACTTCCTTCATCATTTCCAACCCATATATAATTTTTTCATAATTTTTCTCACTCAAACCATTCATGGCCAAAATTTAAAGAACAAATTCTAGAAAGATTAAACATGTTCTAATCATCTTTCATGCTAGAATATGAATCAACTACCTCACAAACATCAAAATCCATCATTAATTTCATGATCCCTTATATGAACACAAACCCTTAAATTTGGGATCTTTGAACACCAACAAGATTACCATGCAATATTGGTACCAAAAGATAAAGTTTTTCACGAATAACAATTTTCTATTTGCAACTTACTCCAAATCCTAAGTAAATTACTTGAAATTTGAGTTGAATCTTTTCCTTACCTTGAGAGAGAACCCACGGCTGATTTGGAGAAGAAGATAGCAAGTTTGGGTGCATTCATCTTATTTTACTCTATATTCCACTATAAATGAATATTATATTCATTTAATTGTGATATGACCAAATCACTCTTAATGAATCTTCCTATTT